CTATACCCGTGCTAAAGATTCATGTAGGGCAGGGCTAAAGATTCATGAAGGGTGGGGCTAAATATTCATGTAGGGCGGGGCTATACCCGTGCTAAAGATTCATGTAGGGCAGGGCTAAAGATTCATGAAAGGCAGGGCTAAATATTCAAGAAGGGTTAGGGTAAAAATGTTTCCAAATATTTGCATTTGCTTGTGCCAATTTATGATGTGACCTATAATAATATGAAAAGAATTCTAGGAAAACCTCAGAGGATGTAAGGTGATGCATCATAACTGCTGAGTCAGTTTACAGTCTTTGTCTTTATCTCTTTGCGCTCCGCTTGCAGAAAAGAAGAGGGGAGAGAGGGGATCACAGAGGCCTGTGCAGGGTGAGCACGCCCTTGTAGTGAGAGGTGCTCGGTTTATTTGGAATGCCTGTGGTTTTAGGGTCATTAATCTCCCAGATTTTTTTATGCTGAGCAGTAAAATAAAGGAATGAATGTATGTGTGTGAGCGTGTTTATGTGAGCGTGTGTCTGTCTGCCTGTCTTGCTCAGGGACCTGTAGGATCCTCGTAGCAGGAACTCCGCCCGCTGATCGCTGCGTATGTGCTTTGTCTGCTTGTGCGTATGCGTGTGCCTGTGTGTGTGTGCTGCCCTCGTGGTTAACAGCAGCCCGTGAACGGCGCTCTCTGCTTGACTGTAGGAAGCTCTGCCGGTTGCCTCTGTAGGAGCCAAGTGCTCAGGGTCTGTACACGGACGTGCAAAAGTACAGGCCAAGCTGCAGGCTCACGCCGGAGACATTTGCACCCAGGTAGGACCCAGCCGGCACGTTCTCGCACCGCCAGCCAGACCTCGCCGAAGAGGCTTCAAGAGAAGCGTTCGGCCTAACGCACGTGTATATATGTCGGGAACAAGCCCTCAGAGAGGATTCTCCATGCGGCTGTTTAGTGTGCTGTCATTAACGCTAGTTCGTTTGAGCACATCGCAGATTCTGCCTCCGACACGCAGCAGAACAGAGCGACTTCAGCTCGTTGTCTGTCTTTCCACCTGAGGGAACCAACTTCCTGTTGTCTACCATCAAGTCCTGAGTGGCTGTTACTACACAGCTGGTGTTTCCCTTGCCACAGATTTCATTTTCGTTCCTTATATGTGGGGGTGAGATGGCACCTGGGGGGGGGGGGGGGGGAGTTGCAGAAGCTGGCGATAACAAAAAATGATTTTCGCGTTCAGGAATTTTTGTGGGTTGCATTCTATACAGATTATTTAGTTAAAGTCAATGAGCTGGAAGAACGTGCTGAATAGTCAAAGCTGATTAGATCTGAATGTTTTTCTCAAAAGGGAAACCTGCCCTAGATGCTAAGCTGTGGGTTTTGCTGTTATCAGCTAACTGCCCGCAGTGAAGCTTCTCAACACGATGCAAAGTGTTAATCAGCTCAGGTTTGCTCTTCTGTTGCTTTGTCTTGTGACGTGTAGAAGTACATCTGAAAAAACCTCTATCGGTAATAATCGTTCAGCTTCAGTGTTTGATTTGCTGGACTTTCTCTGAAGCTGAAAGTCCAGCAAGGTGGAGTGCCGCGGTATGTTTTTGTGAACTTAATGCGTCTCTGCGGCACCAGGGTCAGAGGTCGTCCCCAGCCACATCGCCAGCACAATGTCGGAGCCAGTGAAGCCAGCCCCATCCCCGGCCAGCATGGAGAAACCCAGCGTGGATTTCAGCTACGTGGGCATCGATGCCATCCTGGAGCAGATGAGGCGGAAAGCAATGAAGCAGGGTTTTGAGCTCAACATTATGGTCGTTGGTGAGTGAGTGTGCGGTGTTGGTGCTTCAGAGCAGCGTTTCCCGATCCCAACCTTGGGGGACCCTCAAACAGTCTGGCAGGGAGCTCGGAGGGAGCAAAAACACGGACTGGCTGTGAGTCCCCCAGGATCGGATTGGGGAAACAGTACTTCAGAGGCTCCAGTACAACCGTGCTTGTTGAAGTCCCTAAACTTTCTTAGCTTAAGATGTTTAAGTAGGACACGCTGGGACATTTATCTGTGTCAATCTTCTATGCTCATCACTTGAAGATTGAGCTCAGCAGCTTCTTGAGTTTTTCCTAGTTACTAATTGGTTTACCTGACTCAGCCAATGAACCCTACTCAGGCCTGCATATGGCTGCCCAGTCATGCTCCACCTTTTGCCATGGTCCCCTCGCTCATTGTTTCTCAGCTTCCATCTCAATAGCTATTAGAGATGATATCATTCTGTTCCATGTGTCTGCGCTTTGTGCTACACTGTGCTTTGTTACACTGATTGACTGGCTGTTACATGGGTTTGGAATATTTCTACCATAAAGACACACACACACACACACACACACATCAATCAACATGATGTAGCTACATAACAGATGACGGAGGTGACCATGGAAGGCGGAATCTGCACACTGTGCGTAATTGTTCCCAAAGATAGTTGAATGCTTATTGTCAGCAACATAACATGTTATATTCTCATTCCATGTGTCCTGTGCCTTTGCTTCTGCTGATGTTCCATGCAGGGCAGAGTGGCTTGGGAAAGTCCACACTGATGAATACCCTCTTCAAGTCCAAGGTGAGCCGACGGACAGGCCTGGGCTCTGCTGACGAGAGGATTCCTAAGACTGTGGAGATCAAGTCGATCAGTCACGGTGAGCAGCGAGGAACGATACCGCAGGGGTGTCTTCAGCCTTCTCTCTAGTGAGACCTCAGGACAGGTCAACAGTCTCTGGTTTACCATGGACTTTCCCTCCGTTCAGAGATTGAGGAGAAAGGTGTGAGGATGAAACTGACTGTCATTGACACCCCAGGCTTTGGAGATCATATCAACAATGAAAATTGGTCAGTGCAGTCTTCCACACAACAGAATGTGTGTCTGATCATACCTTGTGTGTGAGATATTGACATTGTGGTTGTGCTTCTGTGTGACTCTGTCCGTGTGTGTGTGTGTGTGTGTGTGTGTGTGTGTGTGTGTGTGTGTGTGTGTGTGTGTCCTGCACAGCTGGCAGCCCATCATGAGGTTCATTAACGAGCAGTATGAGCAGTACTTGCAAGAGGAGATCAACATCAACAGGAAGACAAGGATCCCGGACTCTCGAGTTCACTGCTGCATCTATTTCATCCCGCCTACTGGACACAGGTAAGGACCAATCACTGCCCTGACACACGGTGATATCACACACACACACCATCACACGCCTGAGATTTTAACGTGGGACACAATGTAAAGAGCTCTGTGCTATGTTCTGTCCCTGTTTGTTTAGAGTCAAAAACAGAAGTAAGGGGTTCTTCTCTGTGGCAGCTCTATGTATGATTAGTTATGCCTGCTTTTGCTTAATAATTGCACTACAAGTAATATATCATTGCACTACTGTGGCCAAATGAAGCTTCATGAACGATTTGCTGTTTTTTTTTATCCCACTAGATAGTACTCTCTGTTCGTAAAAGGGCTCAAAGCATGCCGCAAAGCAACCCAAGAGCACCACCTAGTGGGGTCAAAAAATATAGCAAATGGTTCATGATGCTGCATTTGCCCATCACTAATAATTGGCTTTTGGGTGGGAAGGGTGAAGGAAGCAGCATACAGCAGCTTTGCCCCCAGAATGTCCAAGGCGGCCAGACTTCTTTGGCTCCACATTTCCTCTTTAAAAAAGTCCATTGTTTGGCACTGTAGCATCAAGATAAAATATATTTTAAAATCTTTATTTTCTTTCCTTACCAATGCCAAGTCAATGTGATGCTTGGCACTTTTTAGAATCTATGCATGCATTATGGGTTTAGGGGATATTTATACGGAAGTTTCCATATAATTCGTATTCGTACCTCTGATATAAATAACTATTAATGTTAGAATTCCACCATCAGTCATTATAACCATAAGATGTATATAACACCAGTGTTCTATAAAACAGGCTGTTCCTGTGAATAGGATGCCTTTGGTCATGTTAAACATGCTCCAGTCTAATTTTGTGGGGCTGTTACACTGTGTAGGACACTGATACCGTGTATTTTGTTCAGGGTTTGGTTCTTGGTGTATCCCTAGCTAATCCATAGCTGATGGTGAATTCATGCAGCATTGGCCGGTTGGCAGGCCTCGCGGCAGTGGTAGTGGGTGTAGGTCCGGTGTGGAGCTGTAAGAATGTGATGGAGTGCTGCACTGCTGGAGGAGATGCCAAAGACCAGCTGTGGGCTTATGGTTAAGCAGTTTCCAAAGCTATGGTGGCAGGGAGTGTTTGGGGCTCGGGACAGGAGCCGCGTCGGGCCCCAGGACGTGTTCCATGTGGTACTCGGGGCCCCAGTCAGTGTGTGTCTCACAAAACCATCGTGGATAGGGTTTTAATACTTCTGGATCAGTCTTTGCTAACGTATGTTTATGTGTGTGTGTGTGTGTGTGTGTGTGTGGTCCAGATATACCTTACCTTGTGGGGACCAAATGTGAGGAAACTCAATTTTATAAAATTCTGTGACTGCAGTTTTGTATTTTGTTTGGTTACTTATGGTTAAGGTTATGGCTGGGTGGGAATTAAGGTTGTCATTGTTTAGGATTAGGGTTTTGCAAATAGAAATGAAAGGACGGTCCCCCCAAAGATATAAGTACAAAC